CACACACACACACTCACTCGCTCTCTCTCTCTAACACACACACACAGAATATTTCATGAAGAGCTCCAGCTGTGGAGTTTAACACCGAAAACTTGGAAGATCACATGAAATGAGTTCAGTCCATGACTGTGAGCTTGATGATGATGATGCATCCTGTTCTGATTATTCACTCTAAGTCAGGACACTGCAGGTGAACAGAGTAACGCATTTAACTAACAGATCTCACCATACTCTCCACAGCTGATTAATCACTGTAACTGCTTAGTATTACAGCTTTCTGAAATTTAGTTTGAATATGCAAATGTGACATACAGAAACCAAACACATTTTCACCATGTTTTTAGGAGTAAAATTATGTATAAATCAGTGTAAATGATACAGTGGGTCTAGAAAAGAATCAGCTTCCTTTAAAATAATCACATGTTGTTGCTTTGCAGTCTGAAATGAAGAAATGAAGTCAGTAGAGACAAATCCCAACAGACTAAAGGCTGTAATTAAAGCAACAGCTGCTTCAACAGAATACTGACACAAGGGGCTTATCCTCAATAATTCTGTTTTTTATTTGTTTTTCTGACATGTTGGTGTTTTATCTTTCACTTGGATGTTGTAAGTCGCACTGAGTAAATACAGCTGGATAAAACACAAACTGTGTCCGTCTTCATTTCAGACTGCAAAGCAACAACATGTGATTATTTTAAAGAGTGCTGATTCTTTTCTAGATCCACTGACTGTATAAAAAAACAAAAAAAAAGGAGTCTGAAGGGGTTTTGACATCTTTATCCCCTTTCTCACGTGCATCTCTCTCCTGGCGTCTGTCAGCAGAAGATGATGCGCCAGGTGTCCAGCAGCAGCGATTACTGCGTCGACAGCAGGCCGTCGTGTTTAGCTGAGGACGGGAGACTCTCGCCGAGCCACTTTGATTTGTGCCCCACCAAGTTCTATCAGTCCTTCCCTCCTCAGCGCTCGCGGCAGATGTGCTTCGCTTACCTGCCGCCTCCAGCCGCCGCCGTCCTCAAACCCACACCGTGCCAGAGGCAAGACTGCCACGAGGAGCCGCCGCTGTCCCCGGGGCCCGCGGTTGCTCAGGGCAACGACAAGAGTGGGGACTCCAAGAAGAAGAGTGCGTCAGGGAGGTCTGGTAAACGCGGGCGTCCGGCAGGCACCACCAAATCAGCCGGATACAGAACCAGCACAGGCAGACCTCTGGGCACCACCAAGGCTGCCGGCTTCAAGACCAGTCCGGGGCGGCCGCTGGGCACCACCAAAGCTGCGGGGTATAAAGTGAGTCCCGGTCGCCCGCCGGGGAGCATCAGGAGCCAGTCCTGCCTGAGCAAACTGAGCTACAGCGCCTGCAGCGGAGCCGCGTTTCCCTACAGCATCATGCACAAACCTGGAGCCTGTGACGCTGCGCTGAAGGAGGAGACGACCACAGAGTAACCTCACCCTTCATTTGTGATATTACATTAAAGGAGTAGTTCAGCCAAAATTAAACTGTGCTCACCCTCAGATCATCCAAGATGTGGATGAGTTTGTGTCTTCATCAGGTTTGGAGAAATGTAGCACTGCATCAGTGTCTCAGCAATGGATGCTCTGCAGTGAATGGGTGCCGTCAGAATGAGTCCAAACAGCTGATAAAAACATCACAATAATCCACAAGTAATCCACAGCACTCCAGTCCATCAGTTAACATCTGGAGAAGACAAAAGCTGAAACAAATCCAGCATGAAGTCGTTTTTAACTAAAATACATTGAGTGCATAATCCATAATAACCCTTCCTCCAGTGCAAAAGTGTTCTGGTCTGAATCAGGAGAGAAATCTGCACAGATCAAGCACCGTTTACAAGCCAAAACAGCTTTTTTGAAGCTTTAGTGGATTATTGTGATGTTTTTATCAGCTGTTTGGACTCTCATTCTGACGGCACCCATTCACTGCAGAGCAT